AGGTACTCCACCAAAAACCTCAGAGGATCACTGACCAGTCTCTAGACCTGTGTGAATGTGGACCTAGAAGCTTCTGTTATCACACTTTGCACTCATTAGGTTAACATTAACATTTTTGTCAGTTTACTGCCTGCCTTGGAAAACTGTTCAAAAATTTGAAACTAATCTATCAACAGGATCAGAAAATATGACGACATGATTGTCATGAAGCGATTATTTCAACTCGACTACAAACATTGGATCTGTTTTGCAGCAAACTTGAAACCATAGCTGACTCACTGTTTCCCCACAGATAAGCACTGCTAAACAGATGCCACTGTATATGTGGAAACTCATTATTATTATTATTATTTTTATTGGTGAAGGTGACAAGACCAGCTGTGATCAATTATAGGCAATTTCTCCTCCTAACCTGCCCATCAAAAAATCCTGAAAAGCTATTAAAGATGACTTTCCCAAATGTTTACTGACTATCACACATGTCCAGCAAAGGAACACATAGAGAAAGATATTCTTTGAAGTGAATCATGCTGGTTATGCGGTATCATATGAAGGTCACATCACTAGCTGTAGTCCATGACGATAGTGTCGGAGCCCATGCCTCGCCAACACCAAGCCCAGTGTTTGTGTGATTCACACGAGAGGCAGCTGAATATATTGTTCAGTTATTTAATTATTATTAGAAATCATTTAAAGGAAGGGCAAGTGGATTTTTCGCATGCCTGCATAATCAGATTTAAAATGAAAAATTGACAGATATTTTGAAACAAAAATATCTGAAAACCATTACTCTTTAGATACCAAGACCAAAAAATAAAAACAAAATAAAGGATCAGTGGGGGCATCAGTGGAAATTACAGGGAATTCTGGGCATTTCCACTGGATAATGGGTTTTATGAGTAAGGGAACCCACTGATTTAGTCTTGTTCCGAAGTACTGTATGTTTATATTAACTGACCGAAAGTGACCAGAAAAATGATCTCACTCCCTCACTCAAACACACACACACAGGGTATCCAGTCATTCCCATGTGTCTTCTTCTATTAAGGAGGGATTGATGTGTTGTTAAACAGCAATCTGACAGTGAGAAACTGACCTTTCTTTTATGCTTTCCTTTAGCATTTGCACAAATGGTATTTTCATGTTCATGGCCCTGGTGAGCATTAACACAAAGGCCAACAACTGGAGGAATATCGTCGATGCCAATGGAACCGCTGTGTTACGAGAAGGAAAAAAATATGCACCGTGATCTATTGTACACACTTGGATTGCTGCCATTAAATCATTAATAAAAACAGAGGACACCATCTGTAGCTTTTCACAAATATGTAGATAGCATTTAGTTTGTTAAAGAAGGTCTGTCTTCTGTGTGTATGTGTCTGTACATCTGGATGTGAAGTCATGTGTGCTGTGGTCATAGTGGGTGATGTTTCTGTGTTTTAGTAACCCTAGGGAGCTCGGCTGTAGGACAGCAGGAGGGTCTAAAAACCACTGGCCGGTCATGAGACCTTTGACACTCAACAACCGTAGATTCTGGAAAACAGAAGGAAAAATAAGGAAAAGTTGTGTGTATAAATGATGGCACAGTGTTACGAATAGCTCTGAAAACTAAAATCAGAGTAATTTTGCTTTTTTCATCCAGTCATTTTAATATTGTAACAATAAACACCTTTATTTTACTAGACTGGAAGAAGAAAGAGACGCATAACCGGGCCAAATTCAATCAAGAATGATAAGTTGTAGTGTGGGTCAACTGACCTCACAGGCGCATAAACTGCCTGAGAGTGAGTTCAATGGAGAGTAGCGTTGTGTGAAGAAAGACATGCATGCACACATGTAGGTAAGTCACTGGGGGTAGAGCGGTAAAAAGGGAGAATAGGAGAGAGAGAGTTCATATGCGTCAGCTGCCCGAGAGAAGCAGGAAACAGGACAAGGTTAATGTTCTATGACAGACAGAAGCCAGCAACTCTCTTTAATGTTGCTCCCATTAGGGCGCTCTCGGTGCTTGCATCCCACTCTAGCATCCTTTAGAAGACGCCTCTGCCAACAACTGGTGGGAGAGCAGCAGCGTGCCAGCTGCCAAACATGACATTTGCTGGCTAGGCCACTGAACCCCAGCGGGTGACATCTGCAGAGCAGCCTTTCATCCCCACACCGGGTACCTGTGTGGCCCCCAGCCCCTGAGAGCCAGGATGAATGCGCTCACTCTTTCTCCCAGCTGGGTTCCTCATAGCCACAGGGCCACAGCTTTGACACACATTCACACAGACAGAAATACAGCGCACGCGCACACACACGCACAGTTGTGTAAGTACATGTTCATACACCCACACACAATCAAACACACACTCATAAACTTACACAAAAGCGCGCCACCTCTACCTCACAAACACCTCCACACAACAAACAGCTTCCAGCGTCAACATCTGCAGCTCTGGGGGTTGCTTTTGTTTCCCCATGTCGTTTCATCATCAGGGGCTGGCAGTCAAGTTGTGCTGCTATTGTTGTTATTTCAACCGCAGACCCTGCTGCAACTGGCAACTAGGGATGCCATCTAATCCTCACTAGACGTTGATCAAATATGCAAACGCAAGCTGGGGCTGGAGTGGGTGAACAACAAAAAAAATAATACAAACAAAGTGAAGAAGAGACACAAATGCAGAGGAAGAGCTGGTAAAGAGGTTATGTAGGAAAATGGCACAAGTCTGATGATGGAGGGAGACACTAACCGGAGTAACACAGGCTCCCATTAAATAAATAAATAAGCTGGAAATATAAATCTGGCTTGTACAAATGTGAGATACAGACTACAGATGTACTTTACCTTGTGGCTCATCTTAATGATGTATAAATCTGCTGTTTTGCAGCTCAACAAGGTTTGAGTTATGGACATATAAAGCTGATACATTTAACACGCTCGTGCAAAAACATCTGCAATCTGTTGGTCATTAAAATACAATGCTACTGTTGTTTTTCCCACATCCTAATCGTGCATCTAACAAAACAGTAATACCCTACTTTTCGTGTACCCATTCCTGCACGGTGCGATGATACAGCTGATGGTCAGGACTCGTAACTCACTAAAGTGTCTACTTCTTCATCACCAGTGCCAAAGTGTTTTTCCTTCTCCTCTCTATCTCTTTAATCAGCCTTGATCTTTGACCACTTGTTGTTATGAGTGGTTCTGTGTAGGGGTTCTGCTCCCGGCTGACATCCCATTAGCCCCACATTAGGAAATTCTAATCACTGTGCCACCGGGACACTGGGACTCACAGCTCCTATTTCACTTAACCTCCAGCAGGAGAGATCAGACTCAGCGTCTCAATGTTTGTCCCTAATTACCTCCCTACAGTGAGCTGCCACACACAATTTAATCCAATTTTCATCCCCTCTCATCTTTAACATCTCGCAAAGCAGTCACACACCCATGCAGTGGTTTATATCTACAATCCATATGCTTCCCACTGGTATTGTAATCACATGTTGGATCTGCTTAATTCTATCAATCCATGTCTTGACACCTGTCACTTTTGCTTTTGTTTTGGGTATTAGGTTGCTCGCATTTTAGTTTGCAAATGGACCACAGTTCTAAAAAAAAAAAAAGACTGCACTGCAGCAGCCAGCTCTGCAAATGTCAATAATACCTGATTTATATTTTGAGTGCAGCTTTCCTACTGATTCCTGACCCCAACTGCACTGTTCAAAGCTTGCTGTGAACTACTACAGTCAGGAACCACTAATTCTTAATCAGAATATGTCTTTTAACTAAAACAAATCTGTTGGACATTTTTATCCTATCAAAATTAGTAAAATCCTGTCTAAATGTAGGGGATAAAAACAATTTACCCAATTCGTTACTCCTAAAATGAAATGCTATTTCATTTCATCCTTACTAGCTGGATGTCTCAAAAATACTCTAAAAAGCCTTCAACTGAGCTAAATGCTATTCAATTAAATCAGTTTTATTTATATAGTGCCAAATCACATCAACATTCGCCTCAAAGTGCTTTACATTAAAGGTAAAGACCCTACAATAATGCAGTAGAAGTACAGGTAATAGACAGAAATGTTACCCAGATTAATTTTTCTTCTTTGACCCACGTAAAATCCAGAATATGATTAAAATAGTTTGCACACCCAAAAAAAGCATTTATAGCCACACATTTAAGGCATTGCATAACCCCAAAAGCAAGATTTGCTCTCAAAATCCACGTTCACTTGTTTGTGTTTGAGAGGCAGACGGCCTCGCTGCTTCTAAGAACGTGCTTTTTGATAAAGCTTATAGTTAACGTTGGGTATATCTGAACCACCCTTGATTCTGCAGCTATAGCTTTGGGCTTCTGGGGTAATTCTCACAGTGTGCACTGCTCCTCTACTTCCTCTCTTTCAGTCCACACACATTTATATAAGCCAGCATTTCATCTTATTCATTTTGTGTCTTCTCTTTCCTGCAGTTTTTGCTTCATCCATTCTGTCCTCTTTTTTTTTTTTTTTTTTTTAACCATATATCCTTTGTGCAGGCACTTGTGGTTCAAGACTTTGTCTATTATATTGCCCACTTCTTGTTTTTAATCTGTGCTCCTCTCTTCAGTCTTTACTCTCCTCTAACCCCAACTGGCTGAGGCAGATGGCTGCCCTCACTGAGGCTGGTTCTGCCAGAGGTTTGTCTCATGGTAAAGGGGAGTTTTTCCTCCCCACTGTCAGCAAGTGATTGCTTAAAGGGAATTGTTGTGTTTCTGTATATATTATAAGTTCTTAACCTTAATGAGTAAAATGCCCCTGAGACGACTTGCATTGTGATTTGAATTGGATTGAATAAAATTAATTCTTCAGTTTTGGGCATCCACAAATCGAAAGAATAAACATATAGTCTCAGGGCTGGTTCCTGGCTCACACATACAAGCCTTCTCATAATGGCTGACATACTCAGACTGCAATGTTTCTAATGCATCTTCGAATGAGAACCCATTCTTACTTTTCAATCTTACTACTTCATACAGATAAGATGCAACAAAATAAACCAGCACTTGGCAAGTGGAACACCTGGACACTCAACACCCCACCCACACAGCTAAAGGTGACTCTGCACTTTTTCATGAATTTCTCATTTGATATCAAATAAGCTGCACGGATACAATGGAGCATGCTTATAAAAATTAGTTTGCATCAAGACCATTCTTGCACAGTTTCTCAAAACAACAACAACAACAACAACAAAAAAACCCAGATGCAACTAAAGGTTTTTAAGTACAATTTGACTTTTGCATCTCTTTGTTATATTTCTTGGATCCTGTGTCATTTCCTTAGAATCACCCTCTAAATCTGTTCACTGTTCACCTGTCTGGCATTGTGACATAAAACAGAGGTTCTCTGATTAAAAAACACTCCAATGAGCAGCACAGAAGGATTAATAATTAGCCAATCGTTCTGTTCTGCTTTTAAAACCCTTGACGAACCAATATATTGGCATGGCTAGAGATCAGTGTTGGCTTAATATGACATTAATATAAGTGGGAATGTTGGTCTCTCCTGATTTATTAGGAAAAATTGAATCCCCTTCAGTAATTGATTAGAGTGGATGCAACATGAAAACTGAGGAGTTGACATATTCAGTATGTCTGATATCAAGCTAGGTAATACGTAATCAAAGCTAAGTCTCACATGCAGGAGAAAACAGGGACCAGTGATCAGCTTGAAATCAAATGACTTTATTTATTTAAGGGTAAACCTCCCCAGATTGAGGCAGTTGATTTTGTAAAATAAAGACAAGGGTCTACATGAGGGAGGCGCTCTGAAAACATTAGTCAAACATCCCCAATGTGAGTAGGAATCAAGCATTTGTTTATCTGCATAATTATGGATAAATTATGCAGATAAACAACGTGGAACGATTCTCTTGCTATTGGCTAAACCTGCCACTTTAAGGAACCTGCATGTGGTGTAGTTCCCTTGTTGTGGGAAGTTTGCAAAGAGAGTGCGTGTAAGCAGCGATCGCCAGTTGAAAGTCCATCTCTCAGCTACTGTAATCATACAGTGTCTGTTATACATAGGAGATAAATAACTGAATTGTGTTCCCTGCTCTGTAAGAATGCAGCATTACATCGGTCTCCCTGGTTTCCTCCCCACTCACCGCTGCAAAGTTGTTCCAAACAGTAGGTTACCAATTAATGAGCCAGGTGACAGGAAAGTAACACCAGCATTTTTACGTTTCGAAGAATCATTAAAAAGTTAAATTTTACCTCTGTGTGAAAGAACTAACAGCCAAGGCAAACTACTCATAGTGATCCATGAATTTCATTTGATGTTCTTTCCAGTGAGTCAAAATGAGGCTAAAATAGCTTAACTTGAAAAGATAAACATGTGTGTTATGTGGCTCATTATTCAGCTAAATCCATATGTTTAAAAAAAAGGGAGCGCATATTCAAAGTGTCTCCCTGAAAGGCTGAAATCTGATTTGACTGACAAAATTCTGAATGAGTGGAATCCCTAGACGATGTAAATTTTCCAATTTTTTCCACATGCAGATGTCTTCTGCTAAACTAGATTGTGAGTTTTTCTCTGTGTGTTTGTTTGCGTCCCCGCCAGCCTGATTAAGAGCAGACATGCTTGAGCGCATATGTTTCTATATTTGCATGTTTACGTCTTGGTGTGTGTGTGTGTGTGTGTGCATGTGTGTGTGTGTGCATGAACGGTTTAAAACCTGTGATGGCATCCCTATGTGTTATCCTGTGTAACACAGTCTTGGTCCTCATTATCATTTCTCCCTGGGCCTGTTCTGGTGTTCAGAGCCCCACCAGAGGGGCCTTTGGCTCGGTGGGAGAGGTGTTGGAGGCGGCCTGGCCCCGCTGTGCTCCTTCCTTCCCCCTCCGCAGGGTGCCAGGCACAGCGTGTACCACTGGCAAGCCAAGCCTGACAATGAGGCTGCCTGCACAGCCAACGCCATGTTTGAACAGGGCAGGGGGTTGCCACGTCATGCTGAACACACACTTGCAGGAAGGCCTGCTTGAACACACAAATACACAAATACACATCTCCACAAGGCAGACTCCTGGTGGGTTCAACACATGTTTGGAAGATGCTACAGTGGTGAAGGCGAGTGTGTGGAGTGAGTTTGTGCAGGAGATAAACATCACAGACACTTTAAAAACTGTAGGTTCTATTGAGATTAAATGGAAGAATTTTGCTGACTTGTTTGGCTTTATGGCAGATTTAGAATAAAATATGAGGCAAACAAAATCCACATTATATGCAATAAAGGGTTAAATTTATATTTTTTTGAAAGTTTGAAATAAAAAGTGACTGCAGTTCAGTGTTTTACTAACTTCACTCTGTCATCCTTGATGCAGTAATTCAGTCTCCTCCTCCCCCTGACTTCATAGTTTCAGCATATTGCGTGTTCCACATTAAGTTTTGATTCAGTCATATGTTCAGCTCTCAGGTGTGCTTCTGAACCATGAAATATTAAATGTGTGAATTCAAGGAGATGTCACATTCTGTGTTTCATTCATTATGTACACCTACACTACTTTGTTGACTCTTTGAATTCTAATAGGTATGGATAGGAAGTAATGCAATCGTTATGTTGGCATTACAACTTGTGCTCAGCATCTGTTTAGTTTGTAAACTTTTTCGCAGTTATTTTTTCAGTTGTTGTCTAGACGAAAACGAAAATCTGGTGAATGTTAAAATGTTAAAAGAGCATTAGGAAGGCATCCTAAAAATGTAGCTGTGTGAATATTGGCTTGAAATGTGTTAACATGTGAGCGAGTGTGTATCTATGTGTGAATGTGTTTACACGACCTCCTCCTTCTCTGCTCTTCTCTCTCTAAGTGTCACATCTCTTCTCGAAGCCGTCCGTGGGAGTCAATCCCACTCAGTCCCAAATAAAGTAGGGCCACTGGTAGATATTAAACAGTGATACATGCACAGGCAAGGGCGTAACTGTTCTGAAACCAAGACAAAATCCACGATGCAAATGTCTGTGGTCTCCAGTGTCGCACACCCACCAATATAAGCATATCCAGACACATACAGATCACTGTAGACGTACATGTATGTACATGTGCAGTTAAAAATATTGCCAGACCAGTATACAGCACTGGCAGTTCTGTGCCAAGCTCTTGAGCTATACCCCTGGAGACTCATTTCTTTGTATTTGGAAGAAAAATGGGAAGTAAGTGCAGCAATTTACTGCAACGTGCAATTTAACATAGTGTATGATGAAAAAAACAGTGTTTCTAAAATTCTAACAAGCTTAAAAGTCAATATTTGGTATGACCTGAAGATTAATTCTTCATCAAAGCCTGAACTCACTTAGGCCTTTCTTAAGTAATCTTAAGATGTAGTTCTGCTGCTTTCTTTGAAGGACCTTCAAAGCTTTTCTTTGGATGTTGACTGCCCTGAGTTGGGGGAGGCCTATCCATCACTGATCATTTCCCATTGTTCCATTGTTTTCTATGCAGCTATGCTTTTCCTGCATTTGTAGTGTTTTTTGGCAGCGAAAAAATAAGCCATTGTCAATCAGAATCAATTCAGATGGTACTTAACGATCGATCATAATCTGGTATTACTTTACTTAAAGAAAGTAAAAAACTTTGAAAGACCTTTAGGGAGGTCTGGACAAGTATTTCTCAAAACTACTTTAAAAATCACAAGAAAGTCTGATTCATTGGATGCAAAAGATAATGAAATGAGCGGTGGCTCGAGACGTTTGCACAGTACCATGACTGAGTTATTTAATTTAGCTCCACTTAAAATAACGTGTCCACCCAGCACACTTCAAAACAAGCAAGTTTTTCTATTTCGGTCTCAAAATCATGGCTCGATTTTTACTGTAAAAGTTGGTCAATAAAACTGAATTATATCTCTTCATTCGGGCAGAAAAGGCTATTGAGGAACAACAAAGACAACTGAAACAACTCCAAAATTACACATGACTATACAAGATGCACTGACATGTAGTCATGACTCTTAGTGCACCTCTGTTCAAAAACAATAACACCCCTCTGAGTCTCCCACCAATCTCAAACTCTCCGTCACTCTCCCAGGCAGTCAGGGGCGACGGGGAGTTCAGAAGGGAAAGGGATTGGGTTACCATGACATAAATCTCCTCGTCTCCTTCTCCTGGAGGTGGGCAGCAGGGCGATGAGGCTCTTAGCGTCAGTGTCTTTGGGAATGCCGGCATGTTCCCTGGAGGAGATAGGGGAGATAGGCTTGGCGCCTCCAGAGGAGTCTTTCACCCTCTCTCTCCCTCCTTCTCTCCCTTTCTCTTTCTCACTCTCGCCATCTCTGCTTATCTCAAAAAAAAACACAATAGGGTTTTGTACACTGGAGCAAAGCAGGGAGGCTTCAGATGGCAGCCGAGTATGATATTCAGGAGGACAGAAGGCTAGAGAATCACTCTCTGTTCCACACAATGATACAATACAATGCAACACACAACACAATCTCTAATGAAAGCAGCAGAGATTCCTGTTCACCTGGCATTTACTACATACAAACCGCCTTTGCTGTGCATGTTCACAAGCAAGATGACTTTTAAATATTTTTTAAAAAGAAAGGAATGATTCTTTTGGTGTGCATGTTTACCTAAACTGTTATAAAATCAATGTAGTGACGTGTCAGTTCATAAAAATAGCTGTTGTTACTAGCTGAACGGTAAAAAGGAGGGTAGGATTGGCCACACGAGGACCACACCAGGTACCAGCTAAGTAATGAGAAATTAGATCTGGCTCAGTAAAAACGTGCAAACTAATCACCTTTCATGCAGTCGGTCTGTTTGCTGCTGTTTGAAGGAGGACAGGAGATCAAAATGGTGATGACACGCAAAGCACAATAGCTATCATGAACTGCTGTCCACATCTGTGTCTGTGATGTGACCGAAGTCCATCGCATTTCTGCAAAGAACACGCTTCAGCTCGTTCCATTTACGACTGCGTGGCGCAATGTGGCACAACCTCAATCTGGTAATAAATATTTTCAGCTCGCTTTCTATGGGACAATGAAAGGCTGTTGTGTCATGGGTGTCTCAAGCTTCACGCGTCACAAAGGTCAAGCTTTATCAATCTCCAGAATACTGCCGGCCAATTATATGGAGCTCACCGTAAATCTTATCATCTGTAAGTTTCACAACCTTGATGAGTCCAGAGGCCAAAGGCTGTGCCTTTTCTTGTATTTACTTAGGGCAGGTAAATTGGAGAGCCAGCAGCTGTAATGGAAAATAGCCTTGGAGACACTTGAGTGCCCGAGACGAAGAGAATAGCAATTATTCTGGAAAATCAATTTTCAACCCAATCTTTCTCCCTTATCGACCACAGAGAAGGTGACAGGAAAATTTATACCTCGGACTGTATTATGGGCTCTTTGCTACTGCAGAAACGCTTCTTATTTTTCTTGACATTTGACTGCAGCTGAGTATACCCACCTCTGCTGACTTACTCCTTTTGTTAATGTATATTTTTTAACTTTCTAGAAGCCCATTCATTATTACTGTTTTAATGTGCTAATAGAAATCATATTGGTTTCATGGTTTAAGAATAGGGGAAGCGTGAGTTAGATCCATAATTTGTTTTAGTTTTGCCTGTATATCCCACCACACAGGATTTTAAATCAATCAAGGCGCAATTAAAGTATGGACTTTCAGTTGTAACTGCAAGAAGGTTTTTGCAAACATACTGTATTAACTGAATTACAGCTTTTTTATGTGGATCAGTACATTTTCAGAGGCTTAAAATTAAGGAGACAGTTGACTTAGGAGCAGTTTAATGGGTGTGCCAAGTTTGTATTCTGTAGCTTTTAACAGCAATTTTAAATATGAGGCAAAAGAAATGTGAGCAAGGCCATTATCAGGTTAAAATATTAATAAAATATATCTAACTTTAAGAATTGCGAAACCAACGGCCTATCACGTTCTTAAAGAGAAGGAATGTGCTGGTCTGCTCAACAAGATCAAAAGGCCTGAAAACCAGCAGAAGACAATTAAAGTTTTTGATGACAGAATTATTTCCATGGTTGAAAAAAAGCAAATTCACAATGTCAAGAAAATTTGCAAGGAAATCACGCTCTACAATCCTTTGTGGACAAAAAAATAGGAGGTGTACAACAAGGTGAAAACCACTGGTTACATTCAAGAACAGGAAAATGAGATTAGACTTTTCCAAAAAACACCTGAAAAATCTTTCAAAGGCTCCGGAGAGATAAAACCAAGATGAAGTTATGAAGAAACACATGGGGAAGAATCACATCACATCATGGGTCAAACAGGGTGAAGGCTTATGACGTGGGCATGTACTGTATCATTGCCAGTGGAACCAGGTGACCAGTGCTTATTTATCTTTAACAGGGTTGATTTGACTGCTGATAGAAGCAGCAGCAGGAATTGTAAGTGTATGGATTTTTACTCTCTGCTCAGATTGAGCAAAATGCTGTGAAACTGCATTGTGAAACAGATAATGACCCTAAGCATACTGCAAGAAAACCCAAGAGTTTCAGAAGGCAAGGTCAGTCACCTGATTGCAGTTCAATAGGGCATGCTTTTCAGTTACTGAATACAGAAAGACCAACAAATAAGCAGCAACTGCATCCTGCCAGAGCTGCTCAAGACAGGAAACACAGCATTTGGTGATGTTCATGGGTCCTAAACATCAGGCAGTCCCTGAGCGCAAAGGATTTACTAGAATTAAGAACAACCCTTATATTTAAAATTATGTTAGTTTGTTTAATTACATTTGAGCCTCTGGAAACAAGGGTGCATGTATAAAAATGGCTGTAAATCCTTAACAGTTAATCTGCAATGTTTGTTAAACCCCTTGAATGAAATCTGAAAGTCTGCATATTAATCAGTGATTTAAAATGTAACATGATGGTGTTGGTGTCTTTATCCAACAAATTATGGACCTAACTGTATTTGACAAGTAAATCTCCAAAGAAAATTATATCTAAGCTGTAGGTGCTGCTGTTGCCTATGTTTTCCATGTGTGTCTGTTGGTCCAAGCAGGCTCACACACATGTACCTTGTGCCATACCTCTTTATAATTATTCCCACAGTCTTATCTGTGTTTATTTTGCTACTGTGAAAAGCTTACCGCACCAGCATTCTTTGCATGTCACTCCCCGACCAAGATTTATCACTGTGTTTATCCCATTAATATGTCAAGGCTCTATGTAAACTGGCTTCAGAGTATTGCAGAATTCATTTTGTCTGGCTGTCTATCACAATGGCTTGTTTTATACATCTTTTACTCTTAAGCCTGCATCCATCTGTCTTGCCTGTTGTTCAGTTTTGGCTGACACAAGGGAGAGTTTCTGCTCAGTACTCATTTTAATTTCTTTCTATACACTTTGTGTGTACATTAGCAAGTGACATGCAGGGAAAATGTAGGTATTAATATATCACGTGTGTGTGTGTGTGTGTGTGTTTTCACATCACAAAGATGTAAATCACAAGTGGCAGTCCTCTGATACGGACTAATAAAACTCACTGATCTGGAAGCGCTAAAGGCTTTTTCAGCATACACCCTGCAATGCAGCCCAGTAGCAGTTTCTCTCTTTTGCACACACACTCACACACTCACACACAAACACACACACACACACACACATAGACTTCCCCCTGAAGACTACTGTGGGGCCATTTTCAAGATTACCCATAACTCCTCAGGAGGGAATTCATAATATGTGTTGTCTGTTAACGACGCACACATAAAAGCACACACGTATGAACATGAGCACAACCACACAATCAGCATGCGGAGAAAAAAAAAAAACGCATAGATACACATGTTGCCCTCCCCTCCTTTTCCTTAATATCCTGACACAGCAAAGGAAAGGGGGGATTGGAGGATTTACAGTGCTGATTCTGAGAAGTAGCATTTGCTTTTGGTTACCAGGGACCTCTGATGGTTCAGGAGGCGGTGCATCGTACCCCCAATAACTCCACCTTGGGTACTTCTCTGTCACCTCCTCCCTCCTTCGCCCTCAAACTGGAGAATCAAAGTGCTTGTGTGTGTGTGTGTGTGTGAGTACTGACTGTTGAAACAGATGCCGGTGTGTGTGTGTGCCACCTATGTCAACATGGCCGGTCTCCGGACCTGATGCTGCTTGGAGATAGGACCCTGCCCACAGAGCCATTGAGTCTAGACTCCAGATGTGTTCCTCCACACACACACACACACACACACACACACACACACACACACACACACACACACA